ACACACACACACACACACACACACACACACACACACACACACACACACACATAAACACACACACACATACACCCACAGGCAGACATATGCACACATGTATAAATGTGAGGCATCGTGATGAAATCAGGCGCTTGTCAATCTGCATTTTTTTTCTGGCAGCTGTATAATTCATTTCGAATTTTTAATTATTTTTTTGGCTCAATAATTTTTTACGTCCATTTAAGTCATATTTCTGGTCGATTTTACTTAGAAACGTTCGTCAAAAGCAGAATATTTTTAAAATTGCAGTTTTCAAGGACACTCAAAGCTGGAAGTCACCAAACTTTTATGGCCATCTTCTCATTAATTTAACCGTAGAAGCCAGGTGACCCCCCATCTCCTTCAATTTCAAATATTATTTCAACTTCTATTCAGGATAGATGAGTATAAATGTTTTGTTTTTTTTAAACAAAACAAATAAACAAGTTTTAATTATATGATACTAGGAACTTCTTGTTCACGAAAACTGACGAGTGCTTGATTCTAACAGGTGCTTGAATTCATGTGACGAATAAGTCTCACCTATGGGTGCTTGGTTGCAGTAGGGTTTGCTGCAGACACACCAGGTTTCACCTCGGTAGGTGTAGCAGCCGTCTGCGGGCATCGGATCGGGCATCCCGTACTGGGAGTCGGTGCAGCCTCGGGCGACGACTGAGGAAGTAAGCAGATCTAAGAGGTAATACATGTAAAGACTACAGGGGTAAAACGACGGTAGTCACAAATTGAAAATCGTGAGTGTACCAATAAATTGTTGACTCATGACTGTATTTCTGTTCAACTGTTAGTTGATTATTGTTGTTAGATTTCCCATTCAACAACACTTATTAATAAACCACCAGTCAAACAAATATTAAGTTATGAGTCCACAAGCTTTTAAAATTGGCACCCTCTCAATTTCCAGCCTTAGCTGTGCTCTTCATGTATAAATATAGAACTATTTGTAAGGATATACAGTATACATATATGTAGTGCTATTTATAACCTCTTTGAGACGCATATAATATATTATGATATATA